CATGTTTCATCTACATCACTGTATTCCTTTAACTATTTCTGCATGTTCCGTCTACATCACTGTATTATAGAGTCAAGGAGTTATACAGCACGGAAACAGACCCTTTTGTCCAACTTGTCCAAGTCACCCAGACTTCCCAATCTGACCTAGTCCCATTTACCAACATCCATAAATGTGGAACTGGAAAAGCACAGCGGGTCAGACAGCATCCAAGGAGCAGGAAAGTCAACGTTTTGGGCCGAAACACTTTGTCACTCCTGACGAACAGTTTTGGCCTGAAACATTGACTTTCCTACTTCCCGGAGGCCGTCTGATTGGTTGTGCTTTTCCAGCTCCACATTTATTGATTCTACCTTCCAGCATCTGCAGACCTTAATGCCTTCAAGTCCCATTAGTCCAACATTTGGCTGATATCATTCTCAAGCCTTTCTATTCATATACCCATCTGGATTCCTTTAAAATGTAATTGATTGATTTATTGTTGTCACATATACTGAGATACAGTGAAAAGTGTTGTTTGTGAGGTACGCAGGCAGATTGTACCGTACAAAATGCATCAGGATAGCCGAACAGAGTGCAGAATACAGTGTCGAAGGTGCAGAGTGAGAAATCAGAATTCACATTTGGATCCAAGGCAAAGTTGCACATTGGATCCAAAATTAGCAAAGGCAGGAATCAGAGGGTAATGGTGGAGGTGTGTTTCCAGTGGGGTTCCACAGGGCTCAGTGCTGGGGCCCTTGCTGTTTGTGGTTTATATTAATGGTTTACACCTAAATTTAGGGAGTATGATCAAGAAGTTTGCAGATGATCTGAAAATCATTAGGGTATTTGAGGAGACAGGTCACTAGATTGATTCCAGACATGGGGGTTTGTCTTACGAAGAGAGATCAAGCAGTTTAGGCCTATGCTGTCTGGAGTTGAGAAGAATGAGAGGAGATCTCATTGAGGTATATAAGATGCTAAAGATGATTGACAAAGCAGATGAAGAAAGGAACAAAAACAAGTTGCTGGAAAAGCTCAGCAGGATTGGCAGCATCTGTGGAGAAAAAAAATCGGAATTAACTGAGGACGGGTCACTGGACCTGAAACGTTAACTCTGATTTTTTCTCCACAGATGCTGCCAGACCTGCTGAGCGGGTTCCAGCAACTTCTGTTTTTGTTCCTGATTTGTAGCATCTGCAGTTCTTTTGGTTTTTGGTTGAAGAAAGGATGTTTCTTAGGAATTTTAGGATAAGGGCTAGCAAATTTAAAACAGAAGAAATTACTTGTCTCAAAGGGTCTTGAATCTGTGGAATTAATCTAGACAGTGGCAGATGCTGGGATATTAAGTTTAAGGAGGAGATAGACAGACAGATTTTTAATTAGTAATGGGTTGAAGAGTTATAAAGAGCAGGCAGGAAAGTGGAGTTGAGGGTGAGATGAGATCAGCCATGATCATATTAAATTACTGAACAGGCTAGAGGGGCTGAATTGCCTACTCTGACTCCTACTCCTACTTCTAGTTGTTGTGTTCTTATGAATAGCCATAAATGGCAGGAGGATTTGAATGTAAGGGTCAGCTGGACGGAGCAGTAACAGATGGAATTCACCCTGGAAAAGTGCGAAGTAATTAGCAAGGGATTCCAATATCAGTAGTAGGACTCTGGACCCTGTGAATAACTGAAGATCAGAAGGTCTATCTGGAGAGAGCAGGAAACGTAGATATGGTGGTTATGAAGGCAGTGCGGATACTTTACAAAAAACAAAGAACTGCAGATGCTAGAAATTTGAAACAGAAATAGGAATTGCTGGAGAAACTCAGCAGGTCTGGCATCAGTTAAGTACTGAAGAAAGGTCACTGGATCTGAACTAACAAGATGTAGAGCTGGATGAACACAGCAGGCCAAGTAGCATCACAGGAGCAGGAAGGCTGACGTTTCGGGCCTAGACCCTTCTTCAGAAATGGAGGAGGGGAAGGGGATTCCGAAATAAATAGGGAGAGAGGGGGAGGTGGATAGAAGATGGATAGAGGAGAAGATCGGTGGAGAGGAGACAGACAGGTCAAAAAGGCGGGGATGGAACCAGTAAAGGTGAGTGTAGGGAGGAGATAGGTCAGTCCAGGGAGGACGGACAGGTCAAGGGGCGGGATGAGGTTAGTAGGTAGGAGATGGGGGTGGGGCTTGAGGTGGGAGGAGTGGATAGGTGGGAGGAAGGACAGGTTAGGGAGGCGGGGACAAGCTGGGCTGGTTTTGGGATGCGGTAGGGGGAGAGGAGATTTTGAAGCTTGTGAAGTCCACAATGATACCATTGGGCTGCAGGGTTCCCAAGCGGAATATGAGGTGCTGTTCCTGCAACCTTCGGGTAGCATCGTTGTGGCACTGCAGGAGGCCCAGGATGGACATGTCATCTGAGGAATGGGAGGGGGAGTTGAAATGGTTCGTGACTGGGGGATGCAGTTGTTTATTGCGAACCGAGCATAGGTGTTCTGCAAAGCGGTCCCCAAGCCTCCGCTTGGTTTCCCCGATGTAGAGGAGGCCACAATGGGAACAGCGGTGTGTTCATCCAGCTCTACACCTTGTTATCTCAGATCCTCCAGCATCTGCAGTTCCTACTATCACTGGATCTGAAATGACTGCTTTCTTTGCACAGATGCTGCCAGAATTGGTGAGTTTTTCCAGCGATTTCTGTTCTTGTAATGGGGATACTATGTCAGATAAGACATAGATTACAAGAGCAAGAGGCTTATGCTGGAACTGTATAGAAGGCTGGTTAGGCCATAACTGGAGTGCTGCATGTAGTTCTAGTCATCACATTAAAGAAAGGATATGTTTTTCTTTATTATTGGATGTGAGATGTGGGTGTTGCTGACTAGGTCAGCATTTATTGCCCATCCCTAATTGCCCAGAGGACACCCAGATTGCTGTGGCTCTCGAGACATGTATAAGCCAGGTAAGAATGGTACTTTCCTTCCCTAAAGAATGTTGATGAGCCAGGTTTTTCCCGACAAGGAGACTGTTAAGTACAGAATTTTTAAAAAAAAGTCAGATTTCACAGTCTACCGTGGCAGGATTTGTGCATGGGTTGCCAGAACGTTACCTGGGTCTCTGGATTAATACTGTCATCTATAATATCATTGGCCATCACCTCCCCTTCTGCACTGGAGAGAGTACAGAGGAGATTTACCAGGATGCTGCTTGGGCTGGAGGTTCTGAGCTATGAGGAAAGTTTGGATTGGCTGGGATTATTTTCATTGGAGTAAATGTTTTGAGGGGCACAGACAGGATAGGCAGGAAGGCACCTTTTCCACTAGTAGAAGGGCAAATAATTAAGGAGCATGGATCTAAGTTAAGAGCTAGAAGGCTAAGAAGATAGTCTGGAACTCACTGCCTGCAAGTGCAGTAGAGTCAAAAACTCTTGTAACATTTAAGCCGTTTTTAATTATTCACTTGTTTTGCCAATGTCTCCAGCGCTATGGTCCAAAGGATGGAAAATGGGATTAATGTAGTCAGATCTTTGACCGATGCAGACACAGTGAGCTGAATGGTGGTCTCCTCTGCTTTAAATGTATATGAGTCTAGGCACTCAGGCAGTGCATTCCAGGCCCTAAGCAATTACTGTATATAGATTTTTTTCTCATGTGATCAGTGGTTTTTTTGCAAATCACCTTTAATCAGTGCCTTCTGTTTTCCATCCTTCCATCAATGGGAACAGCTTCTCCTATCTACTCAGCCCAGACTACTCATGATTTTGAATACCTTTACCTAACCTCCTGTGGACCTTCCCCAAGGAGAACAACCCTAGCTCCTCCAGCTTAACTACGTAACTGAAGTTTCTCATTGCCAGAATCATTCTTGTGAACGTTTTCTGCACCCACAAGACTATAAGCTCCCTCTAATGCCATCACATCCTGCCTAAAATGTGGTGTCTGGAACTGGGCACAATACTCCAGCAGAAGCCAAACTATTGCTTAATACAGGTTTGTCATAACGTTATTGCTTTAGTACTTTATGACCCTTTTTATAAAACCAAGGATCCTATCTGCTTTTTAAACCGCTGTCAATTCGACCTGCCACTTTAATGATATGTACACTTGTACACCCACCTCCTTTGCTCCTGCATCCCCTTTAGAATTATATTCTTTGTCTTTTCCAGTTTTTTTCGTCCAAAGTTAATTACCTCACAGTCCTCTGCATTAAATTTTATCTGCCAATTGATGGCCGGTTCTAGCAACATATCTATATCTTCTTGAAGATCTACACTATCTGCTCGTAGTTCACCATGTTTCAAAGTATTGTGTGTTTCACAAATTTTAAAACACTGACCGATGAGAAACCCCACGATAAATTTTCCTCTAGTGTGCAATACAAGTTCTCACCATGGCTGTTGTCCTGCC